TATAAATATTCAGATTCACTGCACTCACTCAAAATTAAGTGTTATTTCCTTATTTGACCACTTGGTGTGACTAATGGTCAGCAATTCGGAAGGCTTCGAGTACTGAACCATTTTTCGACACACTTGAAAAGGAAGCTTCAGTGCTTTGAAAAGCTTCGTTTTGCCATCACTAGTGACAGGCTACACACCGCAGTATACATCAGTAAAATAATTTTATTAACATTACTTAGATTTATATGAAGCAGTTGCCTCAGCTTGGGCTTACGTGTCTGTGTTGTTGTCCGCCTTAATTTAACAATTAAAACTTGCCGAAAGTCCCTGCCCTTCCGCTACGCAGTCAAAATGGCGTCCGTTTAATGCGAGTAGTGTCTGACAGTCTGACTCTGATCATCTGATGTCACTACACGATCGAGAAGGGTCCAGCACTCCAGCTGCAGACGCCTGTAGAGTGGACCTCCACCGGAAATACGTCACCTCCACAGGAAACACGTGGCCTCAACTTTTTTTTATTTTTTTTTTATTTTAGTCTTTGCACACATTTACAAACTCTCATCGGGAGATAACATTAGTGCAACAACATCATGAGAGAAAAATTGGGAAAATAGGGAAAAAGGAAAAATAAATAAACAATATAAAAATGTGAAGGCCATTCTTTGACATTTAACATTTCCCTTTCTGGCAACACATTAACATACATGCGGCTTATTTGGTACAACAAATGAAACACAGTCATTTAAGGGATAGAAACTGGGTTACATTCTCACATGTCAAAGCAGCAGCTTTACATGACTCCTTCAATAATTCTAAAGATGAGAAAAAAGACTTTAGTTCAATCTTCAACTGTCACGTTTCAGGACTAGGCGAGCCGGGAAGCAGGCAATCGGAGCCGTAAATGCGGACAGAAGGGGTTTATTGTAGGCTGACAGACGAGGAAACAGGACCAACGCATGACACTACAATGACAGATCTGGGGTACACTGACTTAGACACGGACTAAATACAAGAGACAGGCTAAGGGTAACGAATCACAGGTGAGAACAATCAGGGCGAAACAGGAGGTAATGAGGTGGGCGTGGCACACATTGAGAGCGGACGGAGCGGGGCGTGACATCAACCCACATAGGGAAGGTCTTTTGTTTTGCCATTTACACTTATGGATGTGGTATTTGCCCATAATTATTACCACATTGTAAAGCCTGGCAAGTTCCTTAGACAGAATATCATTATTGTATAAAACCTGTGTTAGGGTCAGTGGGGTCATCCCATCTATTCCTACACTCATCCAGTTTACCAGATCCTGCCAGAAGTTAGTTGTTACTGAACAGGAAAAAAACAAATGATCAATACTTTCTTCATTTCGTAAACAAAATCCACATGGCTCCACCTCAAACCCAAACCTTTTTTAAGCATTTCTGCTGCTGGGTAATATCCATTGATTATTTTAAATTGCATTTCTTAAACTTTGCGGGAGATCGGCCATTTAAAAAAAATGTGTATATTTGTTTGTTATTTTAACATTACTTCCTTTTAATTTTGTGTTACTATTAACATCGTGAAATAATATATTTTTAAATATTTCGTTTATGATTTTATTATTGCACTTTTTATTAGTTAAAGGAATCTGATTTAGCTGTAAAGAAGGTAAACTTATTTGTCCCTTAGAGTAATATAAATAACCTTGTATCAAACTCAACAGAGGTAACGGGATCGCATTACAAACTTTGTTATATTCTCTAAGGGAACATTGAATGTTAAATTTGGCATTGAAAACACCTATTTTGAGAAACTGCCCCTTCTCATCAAGTAAATCTGTTATGAAGATAATGTTTTTTTCATACCACTCTTTAATGAATAATGATTTCCTATTAATTGTAATGGTCCTGTTATTCCACAAGGTGGAGCCATGAGGCGTGAAGTTATGTCCTTATACCTCCTTTGGTGTAATCTTTGACGAGTTGTGATTTTTTAATGTAATGTGTTTTATTGCGGCAAATGAACTGATAGATTATGGAGTTAATCTTTTTAATACTTTTCAGGGTAATGTATAATGAATAGGCTGGATAGACCATCTTTGAGACACCCTCTGATTTGGATAATAAATTGCGTCCAAAAATTGTGATATCTCTCATTAACCAATGATTTAATGTTTTGGACATACCATCAATTTTTTTGACTCTCTAGTTTTGATATCTTTATTTAAATAAATGCCTAAATATTTTACTTCATTTTTCACTGGAATCGTCCTTATGCTATTTTCCAAAAAATCATAAAGTGGTAAAAGTTCACATTTCTTTAGATTCAGATACAGGCCTGAAGCTTTAGAAAAAACTGAAATTACAGTCAATGCTTTCTTAAGTATTAATTTATCCTTCAAAAATATTACTGTATCATCCGCGAACTGTCATATTTTCAGTTCAGTATCAAATATATTTATTCCTTCAATGTCTGGATGGTTCACTATGAGGTAGGCCATTAATTGAGTGCAAAGAATAAATAATTTTGGAGAAATTGGACAACCTTGCCGAATTCCACAGGATACGTCTATTCTAGGTGTTATGCCTGGGTTGAGAGAAACATAACTATAGATCTGGTTGTAAAACAGTTTGATCACTTTGCAAAATTTGTTTCCAAATTCAAAAAGTTCTAAAGATCTAAATAAAAAATCATGGTCTATTGAATCAAATGCTTTAAAAAAATCACTAAATAATATTAAACTTTCTGTATTAATAAAGGATCGGTAGTCTATCATATCTAATATTAATCTTATGTTATTATGAATCTGCCTTCCTTTAATAAACGCTGACTGATACTCGTCAATTAGTTTTGTTAAGACGCTTTTAATCCTATTTGCATATGCTAAGGCTAATAATTTGTAATCGTTACATAAAAGTGTTATGGGTCTCCAATTATCTAGCACTTTTAAATTTTTGTTTGGTTTGGGCAATAAAGTTATTAATCCTGTTTTCATTGTTGGAGATTTTTGTTGTTTTTCATTATTTAAACAATCCAAAAAGGCTTTAAATAACAAATCTTTAATGTCTTGCCAAAAAGTCTTATAAAATTCAATCGTTAGGCCATCAATTCCAGGCGATTTTCCATTTTTAATTTGTTTTAGGGCTGTTTCTATTTCAGATATATACAAATCTTCTTCTAACCATAATTTATCTTCCTCTTCCAATTTTTTAACCTGGTCTTTGATCATATCAAAAAGGATATCTGCATTCTCTTTTTGGATCCTTGGTTTATACAAATTGCTATAAAATATGTTAATTTCCTCACTTATTTGTTTTGGGTCCTCTAACATAGTTCCATCCTTACTCAATTTAGTTATTTTTTTCTTTGTTTGTCTACGTTTCTCTAGACCATAGAAATAAGATGAATTTTTTTCTCCATGTTCAATCCACTTTGCTTTAGACCTTACATATGCTCCTTTAGCCTTAATCAGGTACACATCATCTAGTTGTTTTTGTAAGGATTGTAAGCTTTCTGACTCTTCTTCAGTCATATAAGGTTTACTACATAACAAATGTATTTGTTCAATTAGTTCTTCTGTTTATGTATGTATAGGGCAGATTCTTTCTTTCCTGTTTCTATAGCTAGTTGTTTAACACTATATTTAAACCATTCCCATTTACTGACATTAGTCATCATCATATTATTAATTTCTAATTTAATTTTTTTAACTTGTGTACAGAAGTCTTTGTTCTGTAATAAACTATTATTAAATTTCCATATGTTCTCAGATCTTTGTTGTTTACGTAAAGATAATGAGAGACTTATCAGACAATGATCGGTAAGTGGGGTTGATTGGGTTTCACATTTAGTAACATATGATGATATTGTTTGGGAGACAAGCCAATAATCTAGTCTTGAACATTCGTTCTTATTTGTTGGACTAAACCAAGTGTATTTCTTTGTATTAGGGTTTGTCATCCTCCAATAATCCATCATATTAGTAGCTGTACAAAAGTCACAGATAATGCTATCGTATTCTGGTTGTTTCCCTCTCTGTGGTTGTCTGTCAAGCCATGAGTTAGGTGCCAGGTTAAGAACATAAGAACATAAGAACATAAGAACTATACAAACGAGAGGAGGCCATTCGGC